TTACTATTCTCTTATTAAATTTTTCTCTGACTTTCTACTCATTATTTCAGAACCCAATCAGTGACAAGGCCGCTGACGGGGCCTCTTTCTCATATTAACCCCTGTGAGCCCAGCGCTCATCTCCAAGATGACCTACTATGACAGACACACACACACACCCCTGAGAAAGTACGGTGGGGAGGGCAAGATGTTCTGAGACATTTTGAATTTCTTACTGACATAAAGAAAATTCCACTACCACTGGAATTTTTTTTAAAATTTTTCTTGTGATCTGGGTGAAAGTTTACAGAGCAAATACGTTTTCCATACAACAGTTCATACACCACATGTTGTCTCATGACATTGACAGCAAATTCCCAACCATGTTAACAGCTCTCTTCCCACTTCCTCTGTGTGGCCACCTCTACCCTGTGTCCTTCTGTCCCCTGCTCTCACACTCCCCCCCCGCCAGCAAGCACTGCCTTTCTGTTCTCCCGGGACTGATTGACTGAGTGCTCTAAGGAGTCGGTTTACCTGGTGTGAATGTTCACCCCGAATGCCTCTCTGTTGTGTGGCTGCAGTTCAGTTCCAGACCTGAAGGGTAACTAGGGGCCATAGTCTTGGGGGTCTCGCCAGGCTCTATTACACCAGTGACCCTGTCTTTTTAATGATTGTGAGTTTTGTTCCACATCGTTCTCCCAGTCCCTGCAGGATGTCCTGTACCACTCCCCCTCCGAGTGGTTGACAGTGGTAGCCGGGCACCATCTAGTTCTTCTGGTCTTACCGTCATATACACTGAGGGTCTCATGATCTACCAGTCCCTTGGACGAAATGTTTCCATGTGTCTTTTCACCAGAATGTTTGCAAACTGAACACAGTCCTCTAAGAAAAGACCCTTAGTGGAATCTAGTGGGGTGTCTGGGAGTTGCAAACAGTTAAGGGGCTCTGCTGATAGCAGGTTATAGTCTGCTCACGTGCCTCAGAAGAATGGATTGGTGATTGACTGCCCAAAATATCAGCCCACTGAAGACGCCGAGAAGCACGCGTCTACTCAGACACACAGGAGAGCACCAAGAGCCGGGCTTTCCCGGACAGCACCTGGTTCTCGTAGGCCCTGGCGCTGCAAAGGCGCCTGCTGGCACTTGTTTGGTAACGGAAGAGGTTGGTGGTTCAAACCCACCGAACCCTTTGTGAGAGAAAGATGTGGCCGTCTGTTTCTGTAAAGATTACAGCCTTGGAAAGCCTATGGGCCAATTTTGTGCTACAGGGCTGCTATAGTTGGAATTGACGGCCACTATGGAAGTAGATTGCCCAA